GGAGGGACCGGGCGGGGGGCAGGGCGCAGGGGGGTCCCCGTCTTGTCCGCTCTTCACTGACCCGTTTGCCCACGAACGAACCCCGTTGCAGTACGTTCCGGTCAAGGGCGACCACGTAATAGGAATAGTGACGGCCAAAGCGGGAGACGTGTTCAAGCTGGACGTCGGTGGGAGCGAGCAGGCCTCTCTGTCCTACTTGGCCTTTGAAGGCGCCACGAAGAGGAACAGGCCAAACGTGCAGGTAGTGCTTTCATTTATTGGAGGTGACGCCTTCGCGATGTCGTTTCGGGGTGCTTCTGTTACGCTTTAGTAGTTTTTCTTAGTGCAAGGTATTCTTGTAAGTCGCACATAAGAGGAGGAGCGCAAGTTTATTTGCGGTGGTTTTGCTGTGGCCCTCCTTGGAGGTTTTTGCACGATTAGGCTGTGGGCTTTCTGAGGTTTCTTAAGACAACATGTAACTAGTGCCGTTTGGTATCTGTCAGGTGGCAGGCTTTTTCACTCCTTACATTTTAATTTTCCCATAATACTGCCAGCAGTAGATGCAGTTCATGGGTAGTGTGCATCCAAGGGGGCCCTCTGAAGTTAAGCTTTTAAACCAAGCTTTTATACCATGTGATACTGGTAGAAAACAGTTGGGGTTTTAGTAACACTGTTGTAAACAGTTGCGTGGCACGTGCATGCCACAGCTTCTGCATTGAACTGAAATACCATCACTAGAATATAAAAATGGACTGTAAAGAAAAACAAAATAGGTTAGTGGGATTTTTGTTATTGTTGTCCTGATAAATGATTAGAAGAGCAGGTTGCTTAGACTTTTAATACTCTTAAAGTCTGAAGAAAGAGGAATTAATGTTTGATATTTAAAAAAGAGAAGAGGAATACTCCATGAAATAAAATTTTGTACTTTTTTTGGTATCTTTCAAATTCCGGTAGTGATACAAGATAATTATTCCTAGAGGATATTTCCTTTAGTAGAAGAGAGAAAATGAAAATTCCTATTATATCAATTTATTTTTCTATCATCACCAATATTTTAAAAGTATGTTGTGGCCTCATGGGAGGACCTTTATCAACTGAGTATTTCTTATAAATGTGCACTATGATCTTCTCTAATACTTCTGCTTTTTGACACTGCTTTGTTTAGGTGGGGGATCTTATTTATGGTCAATTCCTTGTAGCAAATAAAGACATGGAACCAGAGATGGTCTGTATAGACAGCAGTGGAAGATCAAGTGGAATGGGAATAATTGGACAAGATGGCTTCCTCTTTAAAGTTTCCTTAGGTCTAATAAGAAAGTAAGTACTAAGAAAAGTAAGTAATCGCTCTAACATGTAATATGGTGGGTAAGGTTCCTCTGAGCAGTGTGGACAACTCGGTAATCAGAGTGTGTAATTGTTTCAGTGCATTTATACCAGTTTTGCTGAATAGAGTATGGCTGTTGACCTAGAAGGAGCATGTATTTTCCCCCTTGAGAGATTTAGATGCTCTTCTATATGGTATTGTCTGACCTGTTTAAAAAAAGTGATGTGGTTGCCAACGCAGTGTGGAAAATAAAACCATTGACCTGGGGAAATCAAGCATTCAAGCTGGGGTTTCAGTTATGTACCTACTACCTTGGAGTTTAAAAATTGGAAATGCTTACTGTTCTTTTTCTGCTTAATAGGGTAGTGGGGGATGTAAATTCAGCTGACAGCTGATTAAAGCGGTCTTTCCACATCAATACATATTATTTTCTGACTTCCAAAGAAAAATAAATTGCATTGAAATAAGGATACAGGTAAAAAATTTGTGGGACTTTCATTTGAAACTAGCATGTTAATCCAGGAACCGTTTCATAAGTCTTTAAATGTATTGTGACCTTTGGAGTTACTTCTGCTGATGTAAATACAAGATTTTTGTGACAGTCCATAAGAATGCTAGCTTATACGGATAAATGGTAGTCAAGCTTTGTTGTTGTTTTTGGGTGGGGTTTTTTGTTTTGTTTGTTTTTGTTTTGTTTGTTTTTGTTTTGTTTGTTTTTGTTTTGTTTGTTTTTGTTTTGTTTGTTTTTGTTTTGTTTGTTTTTGTTTTGTTTGTTCTTTGGAAAAGCAGTCTGGAGATGCAGAGCAGCTATTTCATACCTGGGCTTTTTTAAGTAATGATTTGTCTGGTTTACATGTCCCATCATCAGAAGTCATTGTGAACTGACACAAAATATTTTTGCAGCCATTCTGCTTCCAAATTTCGTCTGTGTGCAAGTAAAGAAATAACAGTATATGACAAGTAAACTGCTAAATCCTGATTCGTTTGTTTCTTCTTTGAGAAACCCTGTTGAAGCTTGGTTTAATCCTAGATGTATTACAATATTCTTGACACTTTTATTTTTCAGTATGCTGTCACCTAATAAAAACAAAATATTCTATGTTTACTGCTGTTAATATTGTCTCCTGAAGGAGAAGGGAAGTTGTGTTTTTAATTTATATAAATAATATATATTTATAATATATAGATTTATAAATAGCAGCACTTTTTAAAAATGTCACTTTGAAAAACACTGTAGTTTTAGAATTTAGTAAATCATAGAATTGTTATAAAAGTATCAATTCACTTTAAATTTGTCAGGTATTACTTCTGAACCTAATGAGGAAAAAAACCTATATTTGCAAGTGCTGTATTTTTTTAGGTGCATCTATTTTATATGAGAGGAGTATTAAAAATCTGATACTGTATTGCTATTTTGGATGCATATGCAACTTGATCATCTTACCTTTTGGTGTTGCTTTAATAGCTTCCATAACATCAGTACTGCAGTTTTAGTTATTGATTGATAATAATGTGGTGTCTATCAAATGTAACCACTTACTACTACCACCTCTGACTCTCTTTGATCTTGTTTACAGACTCTTGGCTCCCAAATGTGAAATAATTCAGGAGTTGTCACAATTGTACCCGTTTGAGCTGGTGCTGGGAATGAATGGAAGAATATGGGTAAAAGCAAAAACAGTTCAACAGACTTTAATTATAGTAAATATTTTGGAAGCTTGTGAGTATATGACTGCAGAGCAGAGAAAACAAGCGCTTGCCAAATTGTCAGGGAATTGATAAGAGAAAACCTTGAGGATTTGTTTGAGATGACTGTAGGGTGTTTTGGTTATTTTTGTATTCAGATTTATATTAAAAGCCATTTTTTAAACAAAGTACTAGACTTCTGTTGTTGTTCTTCAGTTCCCTTCTTTATCTAGTCAGCTTGTTTTGTCTTGTTTAGGAACTTAGGTTTTACTCACTTTGATTATGAAACCCTGTTTGTGTTTATGAATTTTCTGACTCGTGTGGTGACAGTCTTTAAAAGCTTCCATTAGCTCTGAGTTTTGACATCTAAATCTTCTGTAAGAAAACTGGTAAACTTGCATATATTTGCTTTTTTAGTCAATATTAAAACTTCAAACGATACATGTTTACTTGTGGTAGCAGAAAGTATCCTACAGGTCATTCATTCTGGTCAGGTGCTCTATTTATACAGTGACAAGAAGTGATTATTTAATATTTTACAAAATTTGGGAATAGAAATGCAGGTGGAGAATACCAGAAAATAATTACAGGGTATAGCATAAAATAATCATAGGTTGATTAAGGGAAATGATTGCATAAGACCCAACATATGGTCACAGTGACCTTATCGCTTTCCCTAAAAGATAACCCAGCTAGTAGTCTTAAGGAAATAGTGATTAGGACATAACTTCAGTATGAATGTTTAGGAGGCTTGATGGCTCATGGATGTAAAAAATATACTTAACAGCAATGCTATTTGAAGTCACTTGCAACTTTTTCATAAGTGCTTTTTAACTACAGATTAGGTAAAACAGCAATAGCCGTGTGTTTCTCAATTCTAGATATTTTAGATTTTTGTTTAGTTACAGGAGGAAGATTCCATATAGTTTTGCTTTATGTTTAACAAAATCAGCATTTCTGAAAAAAACTCTATTAGGCTTCATTGTGTAATAGTTCCTCACATGCATATAGAGAAAATGCTGTCCTGGGAAGGATAAGCTGTCAGTCTATTTTAGTATGTGGATAATTTGCTACTGTTCTTTTGAGAGAGGAGGAGAACCCTGGAGTAATCGAAGGGGAATTACTGATGCCTGCTTCCTGTGGGAGAAAAGTTTGACTGACTGTACCCAATGAACTGCATTGGAGCTGCTTAAACAGTTACTTACATCTGTTGTTTTGTGGATCTTAATAAACTGAGTAGTTAGATAGCAATAGTTAAAAGAAATTAGAAAAAATGGACTAATTAGAGTAAGCCTAAATACCATCTTAATTCCAAGTGGAAACAAAATTCTTCCTATTTATTCCGTTTTTCATCCAAAGCTCAGCCTGTGGCATTTGATGATATGGTTTTCTTTGGCATCTCTTATTTAGAAATTGAGCCACTCCTCTGACTCATCTTTAATATGCTTACCTAGGGCTTCCCCTGATTCAATAAAAACACAACTCTAATGGTTTTCATATGAGTCTTAATGGGTACAATTCAGAATTCTTTCTGGGTTTCACTGGCCAACCTTTTTAGCATTTAGGGTATTGTTTTCCGGCTTGGTAGATCTTTAGTAATTTTTTTTTTTTTGCCTGTCTTCTCCCGCTGAAGTGTCTTTCTTTCACATCCCATAAATCCTTTAGGCCTATAATCTATTACTACACATGAAAGGCTCTAATTTAATAAGGATTTCACTAACTCTGCTCTTCTCCAGTGTTTTTCCAACTTCAGCTAACCAGAGCCCCTGGAAGGTTGTCTGTTACTAGACAATAGCTGGCATAAGCAGAAAAGCACTTGCCAAATCATCTCAGGGTGCTAACTTTGTTTTCTGTGAATGTTCTTGGATCATAATAGTAAAACCACAGGAATGGGGAATGACATGGATCATTTTCTGAAGAGTTGTGGCTTGAAATGCAATTAGTCTTACCACTCCCCCTTTTACCTGTCTAAGCAACCTCCCTTCCCTCCCAGAAGTCTGAGTTTTAAGCCTAACCTGCAAGATACATGAACAGCCCCTGATTTAAAAATGCTGGTTTGGTGGTGCAGCATAGCAAATGGTGAACTTGAAAGTTTTTGACATCATCAGTGCCCTGTTTCTCACTGCCCATTATTCTGTCCCACTGGTAACTGCTTATCAGCCAAATATAATCTTACCTAAATCAAGAGCAGGAAACAAAATGCATTAAAATTATGCTTGTTTTTAATTCAACACAATGGTGTATCCACGAGGTACTTGAGTTTTACCCCCCACACGCTCATTTTAAGTATGTACTACACTTAAGTTTGTTTTGACAATTTATGCAGTGGCAAAAATGACAGTGGATGTGAGCAAAATGGGTGTGGGGAAAAATACTTCAAAGCACATAGATGTAAACACATTACTAGAAAAGGCAATATTGGTGGGCTTTTTTTTTTAACTTAGAGAAAAGAAAACCATCTATATTCCTTAAACCAATTACTAGCTTTGACAAGCTTTATCTAATCAACAAAATATTCAGGCAAAATATATATCATGTCTTTGGGAACTTTTAGTTCTGGCTTGTTTACTAAACCAGTATCACCAAAAAGAGTGACAGAATATAACTTAGTTCTAGGAAGAAAGACTGATCAAGAGTTAATAATGTATTCTGCTGGAAATGTTACAGGAAGTCCTTCACATTCCCATTAAAGGCACATAAACACACACGTTTCAGGAAAGGGAACTTGCAGAAGTGATGCTGTGGACTTCAAATGTACCTTGCTTAGTAGAATGTCTTTCTGTTGCGTTTATCTGCATCATAATTTAAGTCATCATCTAGAGTCACAATTTCAGATACTCAGTGATTGTGCATTGGGTGCTTTGTTATACTGCTTTTCTTTCAGGTTGTTGCGATGAAAGTTAAGAAGTAAAGATTGTAGGTGTCAACGTGGACGTAGCCTGTATCCCCAGAGATGAGCACAACCCCTTAAAAAAAAAGTTCACAAAGAATTAAATGGAAACCATACATCGAAAACATGAAATATGTGGCTTGTGACCCTTCTAGGTTGATGTGTTGTATAAAGACTGAGAATAACTGCTAACAAAGTACAGACATGCAGTGTTGAAACTGTGATGGTAAAACGTTTGTATTTCGCTCTAGCAGAAGAAAGTTGCACAGACAAATAGTTCAACGTAATAAGAGGATTAAGAGCTTAACTCTAAGGCTATGGTTAGAGTGTGGCTGTAGCTCTGCTACATTAGAAGTTTACTGTGCCCAACTACTCATTACCACCTTACCACCAGAAGTTGCGACTGAGGTTTGCTGGCATGTGTGTTTGATTCCTAGCCAAGTTCTGTCAAAATGACCCAGATTGGCATCAACACTTCTAATATTAGGGTTATTTTGTTTTTCTAACCCGGATGTTCTTTTAGCAGAAGAGGTCATGGAATTTTTCTCTCAGATTTTAAATATTAAGAGCATCTTATCTGCTACTGGAGAAACATAAACTTGTTAGACAAAGCCCAGTTCTCTTCGTTAGTGCTTGAACAAATAATTCTGAGTAACAGTTAAATCAAGTAGTAAATCAAGTTATTTTAAACCTTACAAGTTGGTCACCTCCAAGCTTTACATACTTAAATAAAAAATATTTGCACCAGTTTTTCTAGCTACATACAACCAACTTGGTGAGATACGTTATTTGACTGAGTATAGAAACTAGCTGTCTTAAGGACAATGTAGGGCACTTTAGTTGTATTAGTAACACAAGCAGCCTTGTCCTTACTAATGACTTGTACAGATTGTAAGATGCATAGCTCCTATTGAAGTCTATAGTAAGGAATTAAACACGTCAGTTTTGCCCCAACAACTTGAAAGAGAAATAGCTTAGAAACATGTTGGGTGCCTGGGTTTTAATAGAAACTGTGTAGTAGTTGTGGGCGGCTAACCAGGACCGCAGCATAATGCCTGTTTTCCTCTGATGTCTTGATCTCACAGAAGTGCAGTTACTGCCTTCTTGGTGGTATCAATATGGGTATTTTGGGATGTTCAAGAGCCTGTTTTTGCTTATAGAGCCTGAAGCGTGATCGCTATTCTAGTGGCTTGAATAGTCATTAAAAATAACGCTTTTTATTAGGCCTCAGTGTCCTACCTAGTATGAGAAAAACTAAAAAAAATGGAATAGGATAACAGTATAGGTAGCACTGCAGTAAATGGGACAAAGAAAAACTATAGGCCATGCAGATTCAATTTTGCTTTAATTACACTTACCTGACGTAAAGATTACAGTAAAGACTGAAGGAAAGACAGAAGGACTAACGACCTCATCCGCTCTTTCCGAAGGCTTAGTTTATCTATTGCATTGTTGTAAATAGTAGGCTTTTCTATGATTCAGTGTTTATGAGGCCATTGCCAAAAGAGATTTGTATAAGCATCTGTATGCTCATTAAGATGACTTTCTAATTTTTTCTTCCTGCTGTTGTCCAGGTGGAAGGTGTTGCACCCATCTCTTCTTCGTGTTCCACTGTGAACTGCTCATGCGGGTGAAACTGATTTCAAAAGACCTGTAGGTCCTTTGGTTTCTTGAGTGACTTATCTTACTTAAGACAAATCTAACATCCTGTGTCCAGGCTGTCTGTAGACAGGCTGGTGCTTTTATTTCCTGAGAATCAGGGTGAGGTTGGAAACACCACCACATGAGTACCTGTCACCGTACAGCCTCCAAACGAGATGGCTTTTGCCTGGTCTAGCTGAAACCTGTGTCAGTCTGCATCTGTGTGGATATGGCTTTAGAAGCCCATGGGTGAAAAGTTCAAGCTGTGTTTTTGTATATCTACGTCCAATTTTATTGGCTCAATGTAGACAATCTTAATTAGTCTGGAAATCCTTCTACAGGCATAGGGCCTAGATCCTGCCTTAGCCCACCACTGTCTGTTTCCTTGTTGCTTTTGAGATCTCCTGTTTCCTGATAGAAAAGACAGTTTGTTTAATATAAGCCATTTGTCTACTGCTTTTGGTCTAAAGATGATCTACAGAAGCATGATCCAACAAGAAACAGAAATAATTAACTTCTGAAATAACACACAGCTTTGTCATTCTGTACGTGAATTGAAAGTTTCGTAATGCTAGATCGTGTTTTAGCATAGATACTGATACAGTGCATGCTGGGTGACTTATGCACGGGCATGCTAGGGAAATTTAATTAACTGAT